GAAGGAGCGTTTGGTGCCTTGTGCAGTTTCGGCGCATGCAGGCAAAGGAACGTTTGGTGCCTTGTGCAGTTTAGGCTCGTGTAGGCGAACGAAGGAGCGTTTGGTGCCTTGTGCAGTTTCGGCTCGTGCAGGCGAATGAGCGTTTGGTGCCTTGTGCAGTTTCGACTCGTGCAAGCGAAGGAGCATTTGGTGCCTTGTGCAGTTTCAGCTCGTGCAGGCGAAGGAGCATTTTGGTTGAATTTGTGTTAAGCGAAGTGAGAAGTGTCCTCCTTATGTTTTTCACTACGGGAGGTGCTTGACACATTATTCTTGAAGAATCCTTTGGGGAAGAAGTCATGTAGCATGATCGGGCTAGTTGACCTTTGTTTCAAGAGTTCATCTTTTGGAACCACTTTGTTCATGTTTGACAATTTATTTCCTCTATGCCTTTTAGGTGGTTGAAGAGAACTTCTTTTGTTTTCACATCTTTTTGATTGACCAGTTTTTGGCAAAGATGCATTCTTCTTATGTAACTTCCTCCGAGTGACCAATGTCCATCCTTCATTATCGTCATTGAATGAATCGACACTACTTTGACTTAACATCCCAACACACTCATATGGACTGAGTTGATGGGTTTCAGAGAATGCCCCCAGTGGTTGAAGTGAGGGCGAATGTGCTGAATCAGAGAAGACAAATGAGATCGTAGCATGGTTCGACTCTACCACCTTGGCAAGATCCACTTCAATTCTTCCTTGTTGTGCAAGCTTCATGATGAGATCTTTCAACACGAAGCACTTTTGCACTGGGTAACTGATGACACGATGGTATATGCAGTATTTTGGGTGGTTAATATGATTCATCTCTTCAGGGCGTTTGCACTCGAGTAACTCAATCACCTTCTTCTTCAGTAAGTCTTCCAGCATGCCTTCTACATCAGAGTCTGGAAAAGGATACTTCTTCTCCTTCATTTCTTTTAGGGCGTGTCGTCTTGGTTTTTGATCTTGAGTCGACTCAGCCTTCCTTGCATCTTTCTTGCCTCGAGCGGAAACCTTCATTGGAGCGGCACTGATTGTCATTGACTCCAAGATGCGTGTCTTCAAAGAGTCTGCCCCATTTCTCGATGACTTGTCATCTCGATGATCACTCACCATTTCCTTTCTTCCATTGTGACTAGCGATACTTAGCTCTATGTCATGCGCACGAGTGGTCAATTCTTCAAAGCTACGGGGTTTGATCCCTTGAAGAATGTAGAGCAGACCCCAATGCATACCTTGAATGCACATCTCTACTGCCGATAACTCTAAGACTCGATCTTTGCAGTTGAGGCTTAATGAACGCCAACGATTGATGTAATCAACAACAGGTTCGTCTTTTCGTTGCTTTGTGCTAGTGAGCTCTAGCATGCTAACTGAGCGACGAGTGCTATAGAAGCGGTTAAGGAATTCTCTCTCCATTTGTTCCCAGCTATCGATTGACTCGGGTTCCAAGTCAATGTACCAATTGAATGCAGTGCCTCGGAGTGAGCGAACAAATTGCTTCACAAGGTAATCGTCATTAGTGCCAGCGCTGTTGCACATCTCGATGAAGTGGGCAACATGTTGTTTAGGGTTACCTTTTCCATCAAACTGCATGAACTTTGGAGGTTGATAACCCGTTGGCATTCGAAGGTTGTCTAACCTTTTGGTGTAAGGCTTGGAATAGATAAATGTATCTTGAGAAGGCCCACCATATTGAGCCCTGATGGTGTTCACGATCATGTCCTGAAGTTGTTGGACTGATAAAGAACCCACTGAGGCGTTGTCGCCTTTTCCGTGCAACTTCTCACCCGACTCTACTTCATGACCCAATCTTTTCTCGTTGGATTCAGCTTCATGATATGGTCATTTCCTATGCATGTCTTGATCAAGCTCTTTATCCTGATTTGCCTCCCACTTGTTAATGAGAGAAGCAATCTGCGCATCTTTCTCTTCGACCATCTTCGTCAGTTTCGTGACCGCTTCGCTCATATGGGTCAGCTGTTCTTCAATATACATCGCTCCTGTCACCATGACCTGCATAGCCATAGAATAAGACTCACCTATGGATGCCGAGGGATTCATGGCAATCTTCTTTGGTTGGTCATCAGATGAGGATCTATGGTATGAGCCTGTGCTCTAGTCAGCGTCTGAAACAGGCGAGAGTGAACATTCTCTTGAATTCTTCGAGCTCGAAAAACTCCTTTCTTCGTTCCGAGAGTTTCTCGCATCCGCTCGGGGGGTATTCTTCTTTGCCCCCAAGGAAGCCAAATTGATAAACGTTTCACGCCTTCAGTTCACGTATTTCTCCTTGGCTTGAGTCAATATGAAAGTGACATGTTGAGTTGCGGATATCGCCTTGGCCTTGCTCCGAGTGACGACCCCAGCAGAGTCTCCGCTTGAGAAAGAGGCGCTCACGCTTTTGCCTCTCGTCTTGGGAACGGTTTGAATCTTCTTGGAAGCCATTGTTTTCGGTGTGTTGATTGATTTTGGAATTGGAGAAAGAGATGAAAGGCAGAGATAGTCCCACCGGGTGTGCCAAATTTGTAAACACGAAAATCCTGCGACAAATTATCAAGTGTGTAGGTTACAATCTCTATGGGTATTCTTTTACAAAAATAAAAGAATTTCCCCTGATTCGATCGCCAAAGTGTTTAAAGAAAATTTGTGTTTGATACAAGGGTCGTAGAGACTTGATCTTGATCAAACGGGTAGCACAAAGCTTGTTTGGTGATTGGATTTTTCTAGGGTGGAGGAACCGGCACGTACTTGTTGTGCTTGGTGGCTCTTCCAAAGTGAGGTGAAGAATGCAGAGAGTTTTCTGTTTCTTCTGAGTGCTTGGGTGTGTCTAAGCCCCTTTTCTTCGTCTTGAGGCCTCCTATTTATAGGCTCCTGCAAGATGTTTGACCTAAAAAGCTTTCCTTCTTTAGGACCTTGCTTTGTGGGATTTCGATTTGATTTAAAATCAATTCCAATAATTTGGCAATTTAACCAAATTATCTTCGATTGATTGACTTGATTAATATTTGATTTAAATCAAAGTCAATCATAGACGATTCTTTCCTTTAATTTTGTCTTCACTTTGAACCGTTTGATGCCCTCCGCCGGATGTCGACACGTGTCAATTTTGACAATTAATCCAATTTTGATGAGTTGTACGCCACATGGGCGAATTATGGGGCCCACAATTTAATTCACCAAACCCTAATTATTTTCTTGCTTAGTGGAATGTAATTCACCAAAATTGCATTGTCTACAAATAGATTTGAAGGAGAGATTCCAGCAGGTGTCATTGGGAATCTAAGAGGCCTTCTTTTGCTTAATCTTTCTAACAACGCTCTCACTGGTCTCATCCCGTCATCTTTATGGAACTTGACGGCTCTTGAATCGTTAGATCTCTCCCGAAACCAGCTCTCAAGAAGGATCCCCGGTAATTTGGCACAACTCACTTTCCTTGAATATTTCAATGTATCCTATAACCATCTTTGGGGTCCTATACCACTTGGCCAACAATTTGGTACATTCCTAGAAGATTCATACCAAGGAAACTCAAGTCTGTGTGGAAAGCCTTTGTCAAAGAAATGTGACAGCTCAATATCACTACCGCCCTTTCAGGTTTTCAAACTCAAGTCTGTATGTGGTTCTGCCAGGAGTTGTTAGTGGTCTAATAGTTGGAGTGGTTGCTGGGAACTTTTGGACAATCAAGAATCATGAATGGTTTGTAGAGAAATTTAGCAGGAAGAGGCAGCTAAGAGGCACACGGGGGAGGAGAGGACACAGAAACTAAGTACTTATTTTAAATCCATGTTTATCTTGCAGCTGTTGCTGTTGTTGTTTAGAATTCTTGTATGGGGTCTGGTGCATTCTGTTTTATTACAGTAAGGGTGGTGGTGTAATTTGCTTGTATTAATTTGTGGTGCTGTAAGTTGCTTGAATTAATTTGTTCAACAATGTTTGTAATATGTTTCTGTACGAGTACAAAAAAGTAGTGTACGTTTTCGACTAGCTACGAACTACATTTTCTGTTTCCTGTTTGCTTAGTTTCTTTGATTTCCTGTATTGTTGTTCCTAATTAAGTACCAAATATTTGGATGCTTAATGCTTACTTTGCAGCCAACATATGTTTCTAATATCAAATTCTAGTAATTAATTTGCCAATTCTCTTGAAGTTCTTCTCCATCCTTCTCTGATTTCAGGCATACAATAATTACCCTGTAGACATTTTTGGCGGTATCTCGTAATCACCTTGTAACATGAAATAGGAAAGTTCCTTCCAAAAGTACCCCCTGAAAAAGTTTGAATGACCAACAAACCCCCAAATATCACATGGCAAGAACAAGGCCAGAGAGAAAACCTACAAGCATTTGTGGCTATGTTTCCCAAAAAGGTGAGGCCATAGATTCCAGAGTGGTTCACTTGTAGCTTAGAGAACAGTTAGCCTAGTATGTCAATTCTGGCTGTAAATTCATTGTTTGTTTTTCAAGTCATTTTCTATTTACCTTTTCTCTGCTGCTTGTTTGTTCAAAGAGTCTCAATGTGCATCTTCAGTTTTGATCAAAGAATTGTTTAGGTTATTCTTCTTGATCGAACTACATTTTCTGTTTCCTGTTTGCGTAGTTTCTTTGATTTCCTGTATTGTTGTTCTTAATTTGATGTTTAATGCTACTATCAACTTCTAGTAGGTAATTTGCCAACTCTCTTGAGGTTCTTCTCTGTCCTTCTCTGCCTTCTCTGTTCTTCTCTTGATTCTTAGAAAGACACATGATTTTAAAATGTTGAAGCCAAAATTTTACTTGCATTGCTGCCTTGATTTACTTGTTTACCACCAGAAGATTTTTGGCTGTATCTTGTATTCACTTTGTAACGTGAATTAGGAAAATTCCTTCCAAAAATACCCCATGAACACTTTTGAATGACCAACAACCCTTAATATATCCCATGGCAAGAACAAGGCCACAAAGAAAACCTACAAGAATTTGTGGCTAAATTTCCCAAACAGGTGAAGCCATAGATTCCACAGTGGTTCACTTGTAGCTAAGAGAGCAGTTAGGCTAGTATGTCAACTCTGGCTGTAATTTCATTGTTTGTTTTCCAAGTCTTTTTCTGTTTACCTTTTCTCTGCTGCTTGTTTGTTTGAATCACATTGTTTCCAAGTTCTCAACCCTATCCCTATGTGATTGTTCAAAGAGTCTCTCAATGAATGCTTAGTTTATTCAACTTGACTTTCCTAACCCCAAAAGAATATCATATTAAAAAGCAAAAAATAAATACTAAACACATGAGAGAGAGAGAGAGAGAGAGAGAGAGAGAGAGAGAGAGAGAGCAACTTTTCAAGAAAACCCAAAATATGATAAACTCTTTTGGGCCAGAGATCTGAGTGCCAATGTGCTGATTTGAATCAGATGTTGACCTATTTATGTGGCACATACTTTACAACAGCATATAATACAACAAATGACAGTCTTCAGGGAAGTGAGTGAAATTGTGAAAAATTTCATGTGCTGTTCACAGGTTTGATGCGCTTGTAGTTTTGCAATTATCAAATTCTTTGCACTGCAAGCAAAGAATAGAAAACAGTGCTTCTCCAACAAACAAGTCCAAGACAATACAAAACTACTCCCAATGACACTCGGCTCTAAATGTATGCAGGGGTGTGGGGTAGATACAGCCATCCATCCTTGTGTCTTTATTAAATCTAATGTCAAATCTCTCTCTGTATTTTATTGATATTATTTTGTTATATGCTTTCTGTCTAAAAGGACTTGGGGGTTTCCTTTCTGAGCCAAATTCCAACCCCGTGAAGACAAACAGATAGTTGCTGCCTCATCATCATCTAAAAAGTCTTCTATTGCTGGGGTTGGTATCCAATGCCACATTATTTTCTTGCAGAGGAAACTGGAAAACACAGCCTCCTATGTGATATGTGACTTTTTGGTGTTCCTTGGAAGAAGAAGAAGAAGAGGTAGAAAGATGAAACTCATATTCTGAATCTGATGCAGCATATGGTTTCTTTTACCTTTTCAATTGAAATCCACAATTAATTAAGCAAATTATTAGCTGAGGAATGAACCTATTAGGGCTGAATATGGTGAGAGTGGGAATTTTATTCATACTTTTCTACTACAGAATTGAGATTTCAGAAATTTGAGTTCTTGGATCAATTGGAGGGTTGCTATCAACTTTTGACCTACTGAACCACCTAGCTGGGTCTCAATTATATCCGTTGAACAAAGAACATGGAACTGGAGAAAGGGACAAGAAGAGCCACTAACCTTGATGAAGGCAGAGGATGAAGAAAATGGTGGCCAATGAGCTCGGACTCTGCTTCATTGAGACATTGTAGCAATTGCGATCTCAGATTTGCAGGCAACCAGCGTTGTACATGGTCAATGTATCCCAGGTGGAGCCGAAGAAGCAGCAGCAACAAAGAAAAAAATTGAGTCTCTACTCTACGTTTCAATTTGAAGCAGCAGCTAAAACTTCTTAATTCACTTATTTTCTTCAAAAATAAAAAGATTTACTTTAAAATAATTGTGTTTAATTGATGACTTGATATATCAACTTTTAACTCAAGTAGCACTAGATATGATCTTGAGTAAAAAGAATAGAACCTAAAACAAAAATAAAAATAAGTGAAAAGACGACACAAATGATATTGACGACCAAGGGGTTTACCTCAGTGGTGAGGTCCCTCCCCCCTCCCCCACCACTTGGTCACCTGTTTGAATCCCAGGAAAAGTGCCTCCCTCCCCAATCGCTGTAATTAAAAGAATATATATATATATATATATATATATACGATGAGAGAGATTTTATTAAAAACGACACCTCATCCACTCGGTGAGTACTCCCTACTCGAGATACAAAGGATGCAAACATGAGTACATTAGCATGACAAGAATGTTTGTCATAAAACAGAGGATGTTTTTAGTAATAAGCTTTATCGGCCTTCTTCAACTAGAAAGTGTTTAGTGTCTAGTGTTTAGGCTTATTGGCCTCCTTCCTATTTCTGGCTTATTAGCCTTTATCACTAGCTTGATTACAAACAGAAAGCTTAATGCCTATTTATAGAGGGAACAAACCAAGTAGTCAAGTCGGTTATTCTAGTAAACCAACATTAACTCGTAATTCCAGCCACATATTGTAGCTTCAATTAAGTTAGTGACTAGTGTTTGGGGAATACGTCCACCCACTTTGCACTCTAAATTACTCTATAAAATTCTGCTAGCTTGTAGAAGTCTCCACCAAATATGCATTATTTTTCAACTTATAAACTGGTTCAAGACTTTTCAGCCTTAATGACTTCAGAGTGATAAACACGAAATAAACTACTTGTAGAATAAGTTATGATCGAAGACGATAAACTTGACTTCAAGTCATTACATTAATGGAAGAGGGTCCATGCATATTGACGCTGCTCCACGGACAAGAATGTGTGTGGTGATGATGACCAATGACTTATAATCTGATTCAAGGCTTATAGCCTTCATGGGACAACTAATTGCTAGATTGGACTTAATAGCTTGACTTCAAGTTAGAGAGCCACATGCAGACAGACTCTGACCCAAACAATTCCACCCAGAGAAAGATTGATGAACCTGGCAGACGACTTGACTTCAAGTCGTCTTTAAGTGATTACGATCGGCTGATTTTACTCGAGCAATTTCTGTTCACCTATAACTTGACTTCAGACTTTGCATGAGTTGTGTCTATAAAAGGAATTTAATTTCTCCTATATGTGAGAGCCATAGCATACATACATGCATAATATATCAGAAATGATAATTTCCATGGGAATGGAATCACGGTGGCCAAAGTTTATTTCTGTACGCTCTCTTATTTTGCTATTACTCATTGCTACTCACTATTTTTCATCTGTGAAGACAGTACAGGCAGTTGGCCGCGTTGAGGAGTGCTCTGCCTTGATGCTGTTCAAGCGAAGCTTTTCGATTGACGAGTCTGCTTCTGAGGAACCTTTGTCTTGTGCAAAGGTTGCATCTTGGACTCAACATGGTGGAGAAAGGAGTAACTGTTGTTCATGGGACGGTGTCGAGTGCGATGAGGACTCTGGCCATGTTATTGGTCTTGACCTCCGAAGCAGCTGTCTTTATGGTTCCATCAACTCCAACAGCACTCTCTTCCACCTTGTTCACTTGCAGAGGCTTGACCTTTCAGATAATGACTTCGATGGGTCTGAAATACCATCCAGGTTGGGTCATGATCTGACGAGTTTAACATATCTCAACCTTTCAAATTCAGCCTTTTTCGGCCAAATTCCGTCAGAAATTTCAAAGCTATCCAAGTTGTCTACTCTTGATCTCACTTCTTATCGTAGCCTTTTAAAATTGACAAAGGGAAACCTGAGAAGCCTCGTTCAAAACTTGACCGACATAAAAAAGCTTCATCTTAGTGGGGTAGACATATACTCCACTGTGCCTGATATCTTGGTCAATGCATCTTCTCTTACATCTCTCAAACTTTACATTTGTGGGTTGTATGGGGAATTCCCAATTGGCATTTTCCATCTACCAAACTTAGAGGTTCTTTATGTGAGCTCTAACTTAGACCTAACAGGCTATTTTCCCACCTTTAACAAGAGCAATGTTTTCAAGAAATTGGATGTTGGCGCCACAAATTTCTCTGGCCAACTGCCTACCTCCCTCGGAAACCTTCATTCCTTGATTATGTTTGGCATCTCAAAGTGTAATTTTTATCCCAATATTCCATCTTCATTCGGAAACCTTACCCAACTTAGTTACCTTGACATGTCTTCATTTAATGACGTTTCCAAAGGCGAGCTATCTGTTTCTTTTTCTTGGGTTGGAAAACTAACCAAACTCTACCACTTGGACCTTGGAGATACCAACATAGAGGGAGAATTCCCATCTTTTGTGTCTAACCTGACACAACTTGAATTTCTAAACTTGGCCGCTAATGCAATATCAGGTCAAATCCCATCTTGGCTTATGAAGTTCACCCAGTTAACCTCTCTAAGCCTTGGTGATAACAATTTGCAAGGACCAATTCTTAGTTCGCTCTTCCAACTCAAAAATCTTGAATATCTACTTCTTTCCGGTAATAACTTGAGTGGGTTGGTTGAGTTTGATCAGTTTTCCAAGCTCAAAAAGTTGAAGGGCCTTGAATTATCGAACAACATGTTATCTGTGGAGATCAGAAATGATTTAAGTGCTACTCTTCCAAAGCTTCAAACTCTAGCACTGGGCTTCTGCAACTTAACAGAGTTTCCAAATTTTTTGAAGAATCAATCCGAATTGACTGAGCTTGACCTTTCTGACAACTATATTCACGGCCCAATACCGAAATGGGTCTGGAATGCAACTATTGAAACTTTGTTGGACCTCCGTCTCTATGACAACTTTTTGACAGGATTTGACCAATATCCAGGAATTCTCCCATGGACAAATCTGATCTTTCTGACTCTTGGGTTTAACATGTTACAAGGACCTCTGCCAATTCCACCGCAATCAATCAGATTTTATGCTGCAGAAAACAACGAATATACTGGAGAAATTTCACCTCTGATCTGCAACTTCAATAATCTCCAAGTTCTCCAGTTGTCCAACAACAACCTCAGTGGCATGCTTCCACAATGTTTGGGTAGCTCTAGTGTTTTGGAAGTATTGGGCCTGCATAAAAAAAAATTTCATGGATATATTCCTCCAATATGTCCAAGCAAAACTAGTCTGAGAATTGTTGATTTTAGTTATAATCAGTTGCAGGGGAAGCTACCAAGAGGGGTGATGAATTGTACTCAGTTAAAGGTTCTTAATTTTGCAAACAATCAGATGAGTGACATCTTCCCATCTTGGTTAGGGGCACTTCCAGAATTAAGGATTCTCATTTTGCGGTCTAATGGATTTCATGGCGTAATTGGGAAGCCTGCAACTAAACATGAGTTCCCAAAGTTGCGCATCATTGACTTATCTAACAATGGTTTCTCAGGTATGTTGCCCTCTAATTACTTAGAGAACTGGAATTCCATGAAATATGTTGACGAAAACCAGCGAACTTATTTTTACGTATATACGGATGTCGTCGATGGACATTACTTTTATTCTCATTATGCAATGACAATACGTGGCAAAGGTGTTGAGTTGAAATATGAAAAGACCCCTTATCTTCTCACAATCATAGATCTGTCAAGTAATAGATTTGAAGGAGAGATTCCAGAAGGTCCCGTTGGGAACCTAAGAGGCCTTGTTTTGTTGAACCTTTCCAACAACTCTCTCACTGGTCACATCCCCTCATCTTTAGGGGACTTGGCTGCTCTTGAATCATTAGATCTCTCCCAGAACCAGCTCTCAGGAAGGATCCCGAGTAATTTAGCACAACTCACTTTCCTTGCATATTTTAATGTATCCCATAACCATCTCTCCGGGCCTATACCACTTGGCGAACAATTCGATACATTCCAGGAGGACTCGTACGAAGGAAACTCAGGTCTGTGTGGAAAGTCTTTGCCAAAGAAATGTGAAGACTCTGAGAGCTCAACACGGCCACCATCATCAATTGTGGGAGAAGATGAAGACTCTGTATTTCAAATTGCACTAGATTGGTACGTGGTTGTGCCAGGAGTTGTTAGTGGTCTGATAGTTGGAGTGGTTGTTGGGAACATATGGACAACAAAGAAGCATGAATGGTTTGTGGAGACGTTTAGCAGGAGGAGGAAGCCAAGAGGCACAAGGGCTAGGAGGGGACGCAGAACTTAGCCCAAGGCCATGTATCTTTGTTTATGTATGCATGTTTGGTGTGTCCATAAGAGAAGTATTTGAGGCTTCAAAGAATATTATGTTGTTGTGGTGTGAGGTTTCGTGGTACCAATAATTGTGTAGTATATTTTGCATATGTGGTGGTGTAAGTTATTTGTAGATGTTCAATAATATATTTGTAATGTATTATTTCTCAACGAGTACTCAAATTATTTGTAATGTGTATTTAGAGGGTAACAAATTATGTTAGTAATAAGTGCAAATCCCTATTTGGTTATTAGGTTTAATTGAAAATTAAATTTGACATGTTTTGCATAAATTTGTTTCGTATTGGATTGGGAGTTGAAGTTTGGGTTAAGTGCAAATCCCAGACAAAATTGCTATCAACTTTTGCCCAACTGAAATTTAAGTTCTTAGAAGACTTTAACGACTTTTGAATGGTTAGCCAGCCTTAATGACTTCAGCGTCACAAAGATGTGCTTTGGCTTAAGGTCTACATGCAGACAGACTCTGAGCAAACGACTTGACTTCAAGCAATTTCTGTTCACCTTCTCCGCATGTGTCTTAATTATGTAATCTATCAGAAATGATATAGTTGCCTTGAGAATGGAATCGCGGTGGTCAAAGTTTATTTCTGTACGTTATTTGATTTTGCTATTATTCATTGCTACTTACTGTATTTTATCTGTTTTGCCTCAGACACTTGGCCAGGTTGATGAGTGCTCTGCCTTGTTAGGCCATCCCTAATGGTTGATGTTCTAAATACGGTGGATAGAGTCCCATTTTGAGCTCCGATGGAATATTACGGACTCTAAAGGTATCTTTCTCACAATGGAGGACTTTATAAGTTTTTCTTTTATGATGTAATTTATTCTACGCATTAATTTTTGTTGTTGTTAACTTATTTTGTTTTAATGTATGTTTCTGTTATATTAG